TTTTTGTTTGAAACACAGTATTATAATGCATTCTCATTCCTGTAAAGGAAAGCAAAATTATGTAACTGAGAGGAAGCAATTTCTTCCTAACTGAAACGAATACATTTATCTGTTCAACTGAAATCAATGCTAGGAAAATATATATAACACCTATTCACAGCTTTTTCCTAACCTTTAATAGAATTGGAAATTTTAAGTCTTTCAAGGCTCTGTAACAGGTCTCAATCCTCAGCTGCTGCCAGTAAGTGGAGGGCATAGCCAGTGGATCGAAGTGCAATTCACAGTTCCTCGATCACAGGCCAGCTACAGCAGAAAGGATGGCCTTCTGTGTAGAGCAATGGACTGGAATTCAGGAGACCTGGGTTTGGTACCTGGCTCTAGCACTGTTTTGCAACATCTCCAAAAAATCACTTTCCATCTCTGTGCCTTGACTTCCATGATTGCAGTAAAATACTTTTGCCTATTTTATAAAAAGGATGTGAAGATAACAAACTCATTAAGATTTCTAAGATACTTAAACACTGGTGACTAGGCATCAAAAGTACTTGGCCCACGACCCACATAACACTAAACCCAACTGGCCAGGGCCCATTCAAACTTTCTTTTTGTCCTGACTGCAATAGTCCTGTATCTGCATTATCACTCTTGCAGCTCTTCCTCCACTCTAGAGACATTTCCATGCAACAGCATTGAGGGATGTTCAGTTTAGAAGTCTGCAAGATAGCTTTACATACAGAGGGAAAAGAGATGCCACTGCTTTAAGCAAGAAAAATGAGCGATAATGAGACAAGTTACATCTTCATGCTCTGGACAACGTGAATGAAGAAAGCATTATCAAGAATCACTACCTACTGTTACATACCATTATACTCTTTTCGAATAAATCTTTCCAAACTTGCCAGAATTTGTTCTCTGTTTTGTTGCTCAGATAAAGGAGGGGATAATTCATCTAAGTAAAAACAAGTTAAAGCACAGTCAGATGTGACATTCAGTTACTTCAAAAATCTTTTTCAGCTAATTAAAAGTATCGGATATCCTTTTTTTTTTGTTACATTTACTTTCCTTGAATATGTGTTTTTCTTTTTTATGATATCATTAGAGTTGTTAGGATTTTATTTCAGACGTTTGATTTTTCTGCAATCATTCAAACACAGAGCAGCTTGGTGGGCACCTGGCATCCAGCCAAGGTTAACCCACCACAGCACCCAAAAGCGGCTTTTTCCAAAAGAAGCCATAGAATTCGACAAACACAAAAACTAGTGCCCAGAGCCTAATTTCTGGGAACACTAGTAACTTTTTACAAACCCAGTGAAAAATCCTGTATACTATTAGTTTCTCAAATCTGTTATAAGAATTTAATATCACAACCATGGATTGTATGAAAATAAAAATATTGATCAATTTGTAGCCTAGGGTACCTGGAAGAGCTTCTTGCCACTGAATTTACTGGAATAAGTCATTTAACCCTACAGTTTTTATTTTTTCCAGATTACAGACCACAGTTTACAGTGGAGTACAAACACTTTTCCAACATACCAAAACATCTTTTACACACTATATCAAGTATTTCCCGAAATCTGTTTGTCATTGGTGGTAGTGGTTTTAGATCAATTTTCTTGAAATCCTCTGGGCAGTCATTTTTGGAATGTCCATCCCGTTTGCAGATGCTGCATACTATAGTTGGTGGCTTTTAGGGGAAAAAAAAAGTGCACAAATGCAATTTACTTTTAAGATAGTTCAACAGACCTAACATTTCCATGTAAGTCATGCAACATTAACATGCATTCATTAACATCTGAACAGCAACAAAGTCTCTACAAAGAACAGAACACCACCTCTCAACAGGCTGCATTTAGTTCTCACAGTGCATAAGAGCAAGTGGAAATTCTATAAGAAAGTAGGAGAGGAAGGGAGGAAAAAACCCACAAAACAACCAAAAAACAAAACTCAGTGGGTTTTTCTTTTGGTTGTTTTTTTTTGTTTGTTTGGGTTTTTTTTTGTGGAAATCAGAAAGCTTTGCATAAGATGGGGGCAACAGACCATCTAGTCCAAATGGCATACAGGTTCGGTATTTTCCAGTCCTGAATAACAGGTACTCTAAAAAGGCTAGAGTTACCATTCATAACAGAGGCTGAAACTAGGACAATCCTATCATCCATCCACCCTTAGTTTTAGGGACTTAAAAGTAATAGCCCACAAATACATGACCAGCATCGCTTAAATACACAGCTTACCTTTCCTGAAGTCAAAATAAACTTATCGAACACATAATGCATTTCTTCTATAGAGAGTTTGCCTTCATCTTTGAGATCATGAGCTTCCACCATTGCTTTGCAATTGGGCGAGGTAGCTGGTGTGCCAGTGCACTTATTCTGAGAAGACTCTGTTACCAAACTCTGTCTACTTTCAGCGTCAGAAAATTCGTTACTAGAATTTGTGTCATAGGGTTGATATTCACTGCAGTTACAATGGTGGCTTAGCTCACCTTCAGTTATACAAACTGAAATTTCTAAATCATCCCTCCCTTTAAGTGATTTTTGCTTTAATTCACAGCATTCATTAGAAATAAGGGATAAAGCTTCTTCTTTGTCTTCGTCGTAACTAGAGTCCAATGTTGAAAGTAACAAAGAGTCTATGTTCTTGGAAGTACATCTTTTGGCTACAACTTCTACCACTTCATTACATTCAAGTTCGTTCTCTGGTATGTTACATCCACTTCCTATATTTTGTTTATCTACAACTTTTTCCCCTTGTGGAAGGCAACAGTTGGCTACAGGCTCTTCAGATCTTGTGGATTTCTTATTATTGATTTTCCCTTTTTCTTTTTTCTTGGTATCTGGCTTGGATTTAATCCCATCTTTACTTTGTGGACATGCAAAATATTTATATGCTGTCCTAAATCGCTCCAGGATGTACTCAAATACCATCTGGCTATTTAGACTTCGTGCAACATTCCTCTTTAGTGCAAAAGGATCTAGGAAGAAAAAGAACAATTTCATTAGTAATCTTTAATTCCTACATTTCACTAAAGCAGCTGAAATACCTAAGTTACGATATGGCAGTTAAAAAGAGATTCTTATAGTATAGTCCAGAACTGTATTTGGATATACTTAGAGAACATAGGGCCCACAAGGTTTTTTGGACTTCTTGCATACAAAGCATAACACACATGTGGCCATGAATGGTTGGCTATCATAAACCATTCTAAATAGTGTTATTTAAAAAGAAAACCACAGGTATATTGTACCATTATATTACGGTCAATTTCTAAACTAGAAATGAAAATAAACATACAAAGGCAAAATAAATGTAGGCCTGCCTGAACTTTTTTCCTTCACTAAAGAAGGATTTGCATTTCCCTTAAGAAATTAATTTCTCTAAGAGTAACATTAAGGTTATAAGGATTATATGAACCAATCTCACCAGGTTTCATTCTTAGTCCTTCCTAGCGATTTCTAGATCAAACATGTTTTCCAAGTAAAAAGAGCACTTGCATAGTTGCTATAAGTTTGCCTGGGAAGATAGTATCAAACTGAGATTCTGTTACTTCATAATTTCAGTTACAAACTTAACATTAAAAAAAAAACAAAAGCAAAACCAAAAAACAAACAAAGAAACAAACAAAAACAAAGAAACAAAAACAACACAAAAAGACCAACAATAGCAGGTATCAGAACCAAAATGCAATCTGTTTTTTGAAATTATTTCCTGTTTCTTCCTCAATAATTTGCCCTTTCATCTTAGAGGTTTCAGTTTCCCACATACTGAATAAACACTACGTTAGTTTTAAAACTCTCTAGCTAAAAGTGATTGTAGAAAAGAATTAGGAGAGGAAATTAAAGCCACAGGAGTTATCTCACTACCCAACATGTGCCTCAACAATTCACTGCTTGTTTTTCTCCTTTTTACTTTTCCTTCTTGCTCTTCTTGTACCTTACTGACTCATCCTTCAATATACCTTTAGTAACTCATTCTCTGTCTTTATGATTCTCTTCGACCTATTTCTCCTTGTCCTCTCCACCACCTCATGTGTGTTACAGAAAAGCTTCAACTTCATCAACATCTCTAGAAAGTGTCCAAAATTCATTATTTATGCTTTTATAAAAATATCACCTTAAATGGTTTCTTAGCCTTCCTCAAATACCCAATTTCTCTATTCTTAAGGCCAATTCAGAATGCCATGCATTGCTCTGTGACTTTCACTGTTAAGTATTGTTTACATATTTTTATGAGTTGAGAAACAGAAATAAAGATGTCTTCCAGTTATAAAGAAATAATAGACCAAGTAATTTTCTTTCTTTCTCTCCTCAACATATATAACTCAGGGTATGTATTATCATAAAATTCATATGGTCTCACCCCCTGAAAAAATCACTTTCCTTAGCAGGATATTCAGGCCCTGAATGAATTCAGGCCTATGACATGCCATTCAGTTTCACAGTGTGGAAATACTACCAACAGGGAAAGGGGCAACAGAAGGTGCTCTGTGTATGTGTGTGTTACTTTGACGGGTTTGCTCCAGTTCACTCTGATAAGAGCTAACCTCTCTGCTCAGTCTGCATTAGAGTCAGAGGAAACAAACTGATAGCTGGTAACACTCGAAATACATTGTGGTTTTTGGAAATGCAGCTAGAGGTGCTGAAAATTCATATCAAAATTATTAAAAAGGAATAAATAATAGCTTATAGAAAGAATGAAACAGATAAGAGATAAGAACAGAATGGTGAGAAACAGTGAGACCAATTTACACTTTGTACTTCAAGGACCAGAGTTGCAAAAAGTAGTATTAAACAGAAAATTTGTCTTTAAACAGACAAAATAGCTGACAAAATATAAAAAAACCAATTTACTTTCTCCTCTGATTATTGACTTAGTTTATTGTCCAGACTTCTTGTGACAGACCTGTAAGTATTAGGTAAAGAAAGATAATAATGCGGGATGACTACAGAACTAGAAAAGGCTATTATCCTACCTTCAATGGCTATTCGCCTTTTAGGCCAGTTTTTATTCTCTCTGGTTAAGAGTTCTTGTACCCGTATGCTGATGACGTATTCCTCCAAAGCAAATTCCAGTGTGTAAAACTTCAACAGTTCTAACCACAGTTGCCCCAGTGAAACTTGATGAGGGGTTTTGAATGCTAAGAGAGACTGAAACACATGGACAAGAATGCTCAACTGCAATAAGAAATGAAAATTCCCTTTTTTTTCCTGGTTCCATCCAATATTACTGTTTAAAGATAAAAAACAAGGATAAGAGACAGAATATGGTTTTCAATGAAATAAGGCCATGACTTACATTGCCGTGTTTCTCCTTTGCATTACTTTGGTTGTCCACTTCCGAGCTTGTTACCTTTTTACCGCCACCTTTTTGTTGTTCAACTTTAGTTTTACTTTCCGCTCCAACTGAGTTTTTTGCTGCACCATTTGTTGGTGGTTTGTACTCCCACCGTACAAACTCCTCTTCTTCTATACCCTTCAGCTGGTGGTCATCTGGCCTCTTTGAATCAAAGCCTTCAATCTAACAACAATTAAAGTGGCTCTGAAACAAGACTGTATATAATACATACAACCAAAAGTTTTCACCAAAGGTAACACTGACAATTGTGATATTTATCCCCCCCAAGAATAACCGGTATCAGAGAAATAAATTCAGAGGATTAAAGAAGAAAATATTTGCCTTTTTTCCAAAGTACAGCATGACACAATTGCACAGGCCATAGCAGCTGCCTTTTTTTAAAAGTCATCAGAATCATCAGGCATCGACTGTGTGAGGATTAAGTACCAATGTGTTTTATTTACAAATTTCTTAGGTAATCAATTTTTGCACATTTTATGACCTTGCAGAACACAGAAATAATGTCAACAATTTAACAATAACGTTACTGTATTACCAAAGCACTTACCCAATTGCCCAAATAGGATGGTAAAATACGTGGTTTTCTTTGTTGAAGAAAAAATATCACCATTAAGGCAAAGGAATATGAGGGAATCCCACCTTCAGCCTGACAGTCAATGTGACAGAGCTGTAAGAGAATACATCATTATTTTTATGATGTAACATCAGTATTTTAATTTAAAATCTATTAGACAAATATTAAAGAAATGCGAGATACATACTAGAGTAAAACAGAAAATCCTTTTATCTCAGAAACTGCAGTCATCATGCCATGCCACGTACAGACAAAATGCAAATTATAGTAATTCATACAGTGTCTTAAGTTATACTATTTTATTATACGTTATTCTCTTCAGTTTCATCACATTTTGTGACTGTGGGACACATTTATGTTCCTATCTAGAATTTCAGTCAACTCTCAAGTTTTTGTTATTGTGTGGTATCTCACGTATGGGCATGGGGATTCTAAGTATCTGGCTGTAATCTGATACTGATCTCTTCCATGGGAACTCAAGAGAGATGTAATAAACATATTAGACTTTGAACAGTTCTTTGTCGTTTCTACTGCTGCTACTGATATGTTGTAGAACAGGAACTTTTGTAAAAACACCTTGCTAAATCAAGCAACAATAATAATACCATGCAACTGATTTTTCAATAAAGCCAAGCCATTATAACTCATGTATGGCCAGGCAGCAATTTCAGGACGAAATTACAAGACAGTTAGATGCTGGCTGTGAACATTGTAACTTGGTTCCTGTGATCACCGTTGACGTCTGTAAGAAATACAGCAGGGTATGATGACAGACCCTTTTTGGAGCAAGTTAACTTTTTTCAATATGACCTCAATAGCAGAAAGTTTGCAAGACCCAACTGCTCTGTTGAGCTGGTTTTCAAGGAGCAGTTAACTAGTTTTAAGGAACTAGTGTAACAGCTTGCTAACAGAATAGTGGAAGCTTCATATATATTTACAGTTTCACAGCAAAACGTTCAGTCTCATTCTGGCCTGTTAAGAGAAGAGGTGAACTAGTGGCATGAAGTTCTCTTCTACAAACATATTCATGATATATTATACATTACATTGTATGCAGTACTTAAAAAGAGGAAATAAACATATTTAATTATCCTCAGTATTTATAAACTTACTCTAGCCCAGTAGCGGAAAGCCAAAACCAAGGGAATAAGGACAGGCTCCAGTTTGCCAAGTGCAGCCAGCAGGTCCGTTGTAAGGCAAGCCACATCATTTCTAGCACTTACTTTACATGTCAAACCACTGTAATTACAAATGTAAAACAGATAAAAAGAGTTAATGCCATCATATCACAGATGATGCTTGGGGCAGAGGGGAGACAGGGCATCACATCCCCACAATAAAAACATGCATCAGTGTCTCCCTATGTAAGAACCTGAACTTTTTAGACAAAAGCTACAGAATATAATCACATTTTCTTTACTATTAACTCATCAGTTGGATCTAGAACTTACAAAAGTTCACTACAGCTAAAAATATGAAACAGCATCAAGAATTTGCTCTAAGTTCTGCCATTACTTAATTGTGCAATCTTAACACAACTCAAACTCTATGGATATCTTCCACATACCAACTAACTAACTAACTAAAACAAACCCCCAGACCTGCTGCGTATTAAGAGTTGGTAAGTCCACACAACAGCTGCTCTAAGAACTTTTGGTTTGCTTCTCAGAATAATTATTTCTATTTTCTTGGAACTTACAAGGCATTTGCATAATCCACAAATACAGGAGAAGATATGCCCACCCTCGATGCATTTCCTTCTGCAGAGTTTCAATCACATATCTCTAGCCAGTCAAAGCAATATGGACATCATACAGCAACCATGTTTCATTTTAGAGGTTTATACTTCTTAGGAATTTACTGAAACTGTCAGATGATGTGTCCTTACTGGTAATGTGTATCTTATACAATGTTTTTAAAGCCTTGGATTAAACTGCTGGTAGAAATTTTAAACATCAACTGAAAACCATTCCACTTTTCCCCTATTTAACTCAAAGTAGAACTGGTATTTTCAGACTCCTACAACTAATGACCTCTATGAGGCACAAAAACAAAGCAAAGCTTTCCTTTAGATTGTATTTTCATGTATAAGCAATTCCCCTTTAACATGAATGTTAGCTAATATTACAGTAACACTTCTTGTCAGGAGTGCAGGCAAGTAGCTGCTATGAACAAGCATAGTAGAAACTGGTACCTCATTAAAAATCCTTTTCAATGACATGTACCTTTTAACATCTTTGCAAAAGACAACAGGAACTTTGGCATGGAAATCTGACTCCACATCTGAGTAGACAGCTGAGTAAGGAGAAAAAAAACCATTAGGTACAAAAGTCTTTTACAGTTTTCCCAATTGTACCTTTAAAACTATTACATTTATACCATGCTTTTACGGAACAACTCAAATTAAGTGCTGCGTAGCTAACGAGTAAGCAATATTTTCTGGATACTTTTGATGCTCACGACCAGTATCACACGGCCAGCAGGGAAAAAAAAAAAAAAGAAAAACCCTTGTCAGATACCTGGGCTGGTATCTCCTCTAGAACCTTTTTGTCTGTACATTTGAAAGATACAAGATTGAATCTCTGACAAACCATCAGGATAGTTTGAGAACCACTTATGGAGCTCACCTATCAAAATTTCCTGAAGGATCAAAAATGCAATGCTACTTGTGTCACTTGGTTCAAGATGTGCGGATTACAGGGTTAGATGACTTCCAGACAGAACCAGGAGGCTACAAGTTTCAGAAGTCTTGTAATAGTTCTCACTGATGTTCATATGCAAGTGGAAAGTGGATTCTGGGTTTACTGCTTAGAATTTCTCCTACAAAGTTACATACTGTTTGACCTGGCATCTAACACTATTACCATAAATTCTGGCAATCTGAACTGGACTACCTCGGCTGCCATTCTCCTGCTGCAGGTTCTCATCTCTCACTTACACAAGCACTGGTATTCATAAAAATCACATTCATAAAAACAGCTCAGACACTTTGATTGAAAACTAACCTATTTTTGTAAGTTTACAGAAAAATTAAGCATAAAAACAACAGCAGTTGGAATATTAATTAAATAGAAATGAGATGCAACTAAAACTCACCACTGTTCTTCAAGATTTCAAGCACCTGTATCAGAACATCTGGTTGACTCATCTAAAATGATGAAAGTAGAGCCAGTTACATTATTCAGACTAACCTATTTTATTTTACACTTTAAAACTACTTGCACAACTAGTAACACTATGTTCTTTCACAAAAGTGAAATCATGTGTCAGTATCAATGAAAAAGTTAACTGTATCTGTCCGCACCATGAAAACAGGTACTAGTAAACATATTAGCCAGTTTTCTTTTAGCCTACAGCTTTTTTAGTTAATACTTCTGTTCTAGATCCATATTAATAGACTCCGTAAAGTTAAAACAAAATACTTGCCATATATTCAACAATTTCAATGTCAACATATGCCACTAGAAACGCACAACAATAAAGAATTTAATGTCAGTACTTTCCCAAGGCTTTTTAAAGGTTATAATTTTTAAATGTGTTTTTCTTTTCTCCCCAGAAATCAACTTAAGTGGTGTTTCAAAGACAAGCTAAAAATTATCACCACCTTTGAGCCTTTATGAAAAAGTTACAGTACGCTCCACATGCAATTGTTTGAAAAGGGGCTCAGTTTTGCTCCCTAACTGCAGTTATCATTTCAAAAGGCTATGTGTAAGTATGTAACCAGAACAGGTATCTTGGATTCCACTGTAACACATGCAGTCAAAAAAAGAGCAAGTTCAGCAGCTGTGCCTCTAACAAGAACATGCTGCTAATACCATACTAAACATGAACCAACAACTTAAATGTTTAAAGGCAAGTTATACTGCTCTGCAGGAATTTTGTACCACAGTAAACTGTAAACTGGGATGTGACATCTACTTGCAAGTGACTAAAACATAAAAGGAAAATTGTCACTTTTAGCCCCACCTTTAAAAGGGGGGGAGGAGATGAAGACCTACAAGATTTTACTGTCTGAATCACGAGCACATAAAAGCACACTTATCCAGAGCCAACTATTTTCATATTGCTTCAATGCCTACTCAAAAAATTTTTAAAAAAGGCTAGCATAAGATTGTCCAAAAAAACCAGAATTAAAGTTATCTAATAAGCCATGAAAACTTTACCCACTGGATTCATAGCACACTTGACACTAAATCAAAGATTATATGCTTTGTGCTATTCTAACACCGAACGCCCCAATAGAAAGTGAAGGCAATGGAGTAGAAATAAATGTGGATGGCCTTGATTTAAAAAATCTCAGTTAATACGAGATAATATCTACATACCTTAGGGGGGAATTTGATATCAATGTTAACATCGCTGGTCTTAAAAGCGAATCTAGTTAAACAGGAGCCATACATCCTCAGTGAACAGTCTGGAAGAGAGAGAAGCATAATTATTTAATAACTAGTAAATAAATTATTCTTTAATGGATGATGGACACCTTGCTTTAAATACTGTACCTCCCAAGTGGTACTCCCAGATTAATGAATATCGAACCACTTTCTCACTCCTGTGAAAGCTAATCATTTCCATAACACAGCATCACAGGAAAAGGGATAATTCAGATAGTATAATTACCAAATGTCCAAAATTTTTCAAGCTGTGTTAAAGTATTTTTGCAATGCAGGTTTAGTTTTGTTTGTTCTTAATATAAAATTAAATATAAAATGGCAATAAACGTTACCATCTCAGTGCAGGATTTTATTTAAGAGCGTTTGTTACCTACAGCTTGATTTCACTGCAGCAGTTAGCCAACTGTAAGATCTTTGTTGCCTCATACACTTTTGTTACAAAAAATTTTTATATGTGCTACAATCTGTTAATTACATCAGCAAGTTCCTATGCACAATTCATTATGAAACATGCACATAAAACGTAAATTCATTATAATCCAAGACACAAAGAACAGTATCCATTTAGTAAGTGTTTCTATATTTAATAGTTCCTTACCTGCAAAGATGTACAACAGATCTAAACTAATTACAAAGTAACTATTCAGTAATAATATCATGATAAATGCCATTCCACTCCATAAAGAATTATTTATCCCACTTCATGATACAATTTTTGTAGATGAAAACTCTCCTGTAATATATATTAGGGCTTGGACATATTTATGTCAGCTGAAAATTGAGTCTATTATCAATCCATTCCAAATCCAACACCCTGCTCAAGCAAGTCACCTAGAGCAGGTCGCCCAGAAAATCTCCAAGGATGGAGAGTCCACAACCTCTCTAAGCAACTGTGCCAGTGTTCAACCAGCCTCAGAGTGAAGAGGGTTTTTCTTGTATTTTTTCTTAGTACCTTAATTTGTGTTCTGACCAAACTCTGCCAAACAGAACCACAACAAAATAATTCTTAAAAGAGAAAATAGATCTTACACACACAGAGCTTCAAACAAACCTTTCTCTATTTTTCACTACTTAGAAACTAGCCTTTCAAAAGGAATTTCTGTATGGTAAAGTAGTAGTAGTAGTAGTAGTAGTAGTAGTAGTAGTAGTAGTAGTAGTAGTAGTAGTAGTAGTAGTAATAATAATAATAATAATACCACCACCACCACCACATTGTAATTACTTCCAATGGCTTTTCATAGTACTAAGAAGTCTTGCATAGTTCTAATGCAAGCTCAAGAGAAAATCATGCCAGAACATGTTTTCTACACTGTGCATGAATTAATTTTTTCCTAATTTACAACTTAGGAAAACACATTCAGTAAAACACAGTGGGCTTTGAAAAGGGGAATAACAAGTTGTCTTTTACTACTACAGACTCCCCCTCCACTACTATTACACCTCCACATCAGCTCATCAGCCCAAACAAGTCAGCCAGCCAAGTAACACTAACACAGTAATTTTCATGAGTATTTATGTAAAAGTAATAATTTCTTTTGCTTTGTCTTGTGCTAATATATTGAAAACTCAATAGCATGTCAGAACAGAAGTTTGCACTAGGAGCCACATATGGCAATATTATAAAGCAAACAGATTAGAAAACCTCCACCCTACAAGTCCCTGTTCTATTCAGCATCTTATGTTTAAGCATATATTTAATATAGCTCCTAAAACTAAAGCTGATCATCCTGCAGTAGACAAACAAAATCTTTCTAACTAATGTATTTTTATAGAGCAAAGAGAAGGTATTTCTAAAATAAAAGGACAGTATAGAATATCGACCCCGTTTCAATATAGATGAAATTAAAAGTTTGAAAACTTATTTTTTGTTAAGGAGATTAATATTTCTTTTGTTCAGATTCACTGAAAAACAAACCATTGTTAATATAATGTCAACATTACTGTAGCTGCAAAAATCAGCTCTAAAACTCCCAGTATATTAACTATAGGATATGATGGGAAATCAATGCAAAGAAGCAAATGTCAGAGATTATTTATTGTTACATTATTTTATTTTCCAACAGTTGTACAAATTGGATTTGAATGTTTACATGTCCTATTGAAGTAACATACTGTACTTCTGAAGGGGGAGAAGGAAGACTACCATTCAACTTATCCAGACAATTTTTATGAACTTTATTAATACACTGAACTTTATTGACCCACTGAAGCAAAAAAATGGGACTAAGCTTTTAACCTACTCAGATTTTTTTTGTCTAAATTATTCTTATTTTTAATCAACATAAAGCACTCAATCAAGAAAAAGGCAGATGAGGTATGATATTTATACATGGTTAAGTAAATGTAATATTTTGACCTATTCAAGACAATTCCAGAGACTTTGGGAAGCTATAGTTGATCTCAAAGTACACCTCTCCCCATTTTAGGACCCATTAATCATAAATATACATGAGAAGAAATACCTGTTAAACAATAACCCTTGTTGATTTTAATGACATGTTTCAATGAACAGTTACTGATTAGTACTTCGAGATATTTCAGATCACAATTAAGTACTGAAAATGTCTCATATGCTTACCAAAATCACTCACAGACGAGGTCTAATTTTTTTTTTCCTAAAACGATGCTTTAAAAAAAATTGCCTCATGCAACTTTTATCTGCCCTGAAAGATGTTATAAACAACTCAAGGACTGGTAGGAAAAAAATACATTTCAAACTCCTCCTCATTTTCCCCTCCTGCGACATTTACATTAGTTTAATTAAGCGTACTTGAAAACAAAAAAAATCTCTACTATAACAGCCACAGATATTTAGTAATGCTAGGTAAAGTATAGGTGGAAAGGTTTGTAGGACTAGAGCCTGAGGGAGATCCTCAGTGGCTGAGGCTTTAAACATGACAAGGAAGGAAGTATTTCGTGCCCTGGAAACTTCCAATCTTTATCAGAAATCATCACTTTAAAGAGGACCAATAGCTTCAATAAACACAATCTTTTTCTAGGTTTGTTAGCTTCTTTAAAATCAACTGCCAGTCTGTATTAAAATGCCTGCATGTATTAATATTGTATAATATAAAGATAATTTAACCCCAAGTGCATTAATTCACCATTAATGAAGGTACCAAAATCTGTGTAAAAATAAAGAAAAAAAAAAAAAATTCACCTAAAGAAAATGGAGAATACTATGAATACCTGGTAAGGGCTGTTGAATAATTTTCTCCATCTCGTTTACAATTTCTTGTCGAATTCTGAAGTCATCATCTGATATGCCTTGTTCATTTGCTGCCTCAATGAGTGCAAAACTCAGAGCAGCCAACTGTGCAGAAGAAGGGGGTGGGAGGGCACGCAGCTCATTTTCTTCTTGTTTTTCCTGAATAATTGTTGGATGATAAAAGTAAAAACTGATATTTTAAGAGAAAAAGGTTATCTCATAATATTGCATGATACTAGAATGTATGGTTTGCTGTTTGTGTTCTTCTATTTACAAAGTGTCCTGACCAAACACTTTCAAAGGTAGGAACTCTGCCTGGCCTAACTGGCAAATGTACTAGTTTGGCTCACAGAAATGACAGTAGACGCTCAGTGCTTAAAAGAGAACATGTTGTTTCACAGCTGGCAACTGGGGAGGAAATCTGCTGTGTTATATTCCTGAACCACATTTTCTGACAGTTCTGAAACAGAATTCATCCAAGAAAATGAAAAGCTGTAATTGTTCCTACATAATAAAAGTAACCGAGCTGAAAAAGTTTTTCTAGAGTCACACAGGTTTTTTTCCAGAGTGTATTGTACTTGAAGGAAAGATATCAGAGGCAGAAAAAGTATTCCTACCTCCAAGGAATTTTGGTAAGTTGAGCCCCTTTGCTGCCTAAAGAGCTGGTGCCAGAAAGTGCTACTTTTAGAGCATCAAATTATAATCAATTTAATCCAACAGCAAGAAATATGTCAGATGCAGCAAGTCATTCGGGAGCAAGTACAACAATCACTTGTTTCACAAATTCATCAACTAAATGAAATCTGTGACTGACAACAGAAATAAATACTAACCAGAAAATAATTATGCACTAAGAAAACACAGTCCAGTATGAAAATGTTTGGTTAGTTCTAGGCTGCATCTCTCAACTCTTCTGTTCTAATTTGAACAAATTTAGCATAAGAAAGAACATGTGCATTTTTAAAGGGTGGTGTTTTTTTTTAATGGCACATATTTTTCTTGAGTGGGGAAGCCACAACTGCTACTAAGCTTATTTGATAGTCATGCATATCATAGTTAGAGCTGTAAATAGGTGTATTTTATGAAGTAACATTTAGACAGTTACATACCTCTTATCACTGTATTGTGGCACATATGTAAAGCTATTTGAAGACAAGTGTTAAAAAGTGAAATCGCTCCCTGTCTTCTAGCATTTCCATTCAGTGGGAAAGAAACCTCATTCCTCAATTCTTATCTCCATGCCCAGATGAAAAGCATGGTATGAAAGTGTTTCCTTATCAAATACGGGGCTGGTTTGTTGCTGTTTTATTAATTTTTTTTTCCATGATGCAATTTAGCAGACAGCAAGAGAACCAGAATCCTTTACAAATAATAACTGAACATAATACAAAAAATGTTACTTTCTGAGATGTAATGGATTTATGGCATTCAGAGTTTTCCAGGTGATGGCTTGCATATACGATAGAATTAGAGCATTAATTACAAACAGAAGTATGGTAAGAAATACATGGAAACAGGAGTAAGTAATTGACTGAATTTTGGGGAATCGTTGTAGGAAGAGTAATTTTAGCCATCTGAAAACAAAATCCTACATACTTGAGAATTTGTAGCTCTTCAACAGCATTTACAAAAATGGGTTGGCAAGAACATCTGTGCACCATTTACTGAATTTCATGCATGTAACAATTCTTTAAAGCAAAGCAAACAGTAACACCATGGTATCTGACAAGGAAACTGTTTTTCTCTTTGAAAACCCTACAACTGTTTTTCATATTAAACACATACATAAACCCAGAGAGATGAGTGACTCAGGAACTGAATCCCTCCTTACTTGAACTCTCTTTTTTTAGTCTAGACACACTATCCCCTCCACTTACCCATAACAGAAAGGATGTAGATAAAAATCTCACAAGTCAAACAAAAGAGAAAAAACAGAAAAAAAACAACTTACCCCACCCCACCTCCAGTCCCTGGAGTTCTTGCTACCAACGATATTATTTTTGGAAGAAACAGAAAAACTAAATATGTTTCTCACCTAAGTTACCTTGCCTTCTGTTACTAAAAGTATGATGAACTGCCCACTACTCAGAGATACTAATTCAGAAGCAATGACCAAAAATGTTCTTTCCTCTCTGCCTGGACAGATAATCAAGCCCTTCCTCTCAAACAGAAAACGAGCAACGAGAAATTTGTGGATCTCTGCTCAGCACACAAACTTTCACCTAAATGAAGATGACCAAAGAAAACATACCACATAACAAGAAAATCTTTAAAAAAATAAACCAAAACACAAAAGGGAAAAAAAGGGGGGGAGGGGGAAATCAGTCAAAATTTTATTTGTTAACTTACCATTATATTTTTCTTATGTCGCTTTTCTTTAATATGCTTGTGAGCTCCCTGGATATTTTCAATGTGAACTAAGCAGAGCTTGCATAGATACTGACAGTTGGTGTATTCTGGGGACCGCTGAGGAAAAATGGTCATAAATTAAAAGAAAATGTTTCTGCCAATAGTGTCTGAAAAAATAAATTCTTTGAATAACAAATTGTATTTAACATTATGTAACACTTGTATGGTCAAGGTGCTTTGCAAACATTAAGTAATCTTCAAAAAACACAGTGGAAATGGATTTTTACCCATGTGACAAGTGGGGAAAGCAAGGAAAGGAAGTGAGATGACTTGAATATTACACTTCTCAGTAAATTTTAATGAGGCAAGATTAAGACTGACGAGTTTACGCCTCTTAAGGCTGACCTTAAGGCCAGTAAGCCATTCCTTTCTCAGCTCAAGCTTTTAATAACTACGGATTTATTAAATCTCAGCATCTATCCTCCCTTCTCTGATGAGAAAGTGGCAAATATTCATCATATTATCTACTGTACATGTTATGACAGGTGGTGGTGGTGTTTGGCTAGTATATTCACAGTGTACTGTGCAAGTACTGCATTTTTTGTTCTATTAAAAAGGGTGCGGCTGGCCAACAAGGAGGAAGATAGCCTGTTTCTGACTTACTAATGACTACTCTGGATAAGGCAGGATCCTCTGACAAGGGGTAAGATTATTTCATTTTGATGAATAATTTAGGATGCTCAGAATTGGAGAAACATGCAGAACAAGCATCTTTTTGTACAGATAAGCTGAAAGAGATGGAGTACACAAATGGAGAGCTGGCACCTGGGAGACCGCTGAGAGTCTGCAAGAAGCAGCCAAGCCTCAGGAGATGATAGGGGAAAACAAACAAACAAACAAATCACCGTTTTCCTAGAATCCAAGAGGGGATACTGTGAAGTTTATTGAACCAGGAAACCACCGAGAACTACTAGAATAAAAGGCAGAAAGGACCACCTCTGCAAAGATGAGGGGTTGGTTGGCAAATACTCCACTTTAGTCTGTCTCATCCTGCAGTTGTATTTTCTTGCTCTAATAAAACACAGCTATAGAGATTGGAAACCTTTTGATATGCTCACTGCAAAGACAAAAGGGCCCCAACAAAAAGCCTGCATCTTCCTCTATACTTGTTAGCATTTTTCCAAAAACTGCTATCAGTTATAACTGGGAGAGAAAAAAACCTACTTAACATTTTCATCCTGATTCTAATACATCTATATTTATTAAAACCGAAAAGTACTGAAAACAGCAGATGTTTAAACAGTGACATAACAATGAATGAACAGAGAACACCATTTTAAGACACTAAGGTGGACTATAGATCAGTTAAACAAATTTTACTTACTATGTGGAAACCTAAACCACTGCTAAATTTGGGCAAGTTTTTCCACTTACTGAGTTTGATCTTTTGCTTTTGGAAAAAAAAAAAAGGGTCTGACACCCTCCAACTGCAGAGTAAGTATCAATTTAAAGTAACACGGTCATTATGCTTTTTCTACTAATTCTTTTCATCCTTATTTTCTATGAGACAGATACCTAGTAACGTGAAATTACACATCCACTTGGAAAACAACTTACAGACAGTTACACTTGGCTAGCTGGGAAGATTCAAGTATTCGATACCTGATGATTGAAGTAGATCAAAAATATTTTACCACTCTTCTAAAACTGAATGAATATCAGCAATATCATATTAAAAAAATTGGGTAGTTCTTTGCAATACTGATCTGCAGTATTATGTCAGCAGATGTTGCCAGCAAAGTGGAATCATGTAATGCCTTTTATTTTGCCTTTATTGTAAAGCCTTTTTTAATCATCTAGTTATGCTTAAAGCGGCAAGAACTCAAAATAGCGAGACAAAAAAATAGTCTGTAGCTTTTTTCACTTTTACTTGAGTAAGACAGAAGCATCCAAACAAGCCAGGCCTCATGAAATTTGTGCTTGGACATTCAAGGAGCTAATCCATCTCAGAGTCAGTTGTATTTTAAAGAACTCACAGAGAATGGGAACATTCCAGATCACAAGGAAAGAGAAACTTAAGAATATCCTTAAAAGGCTAAAGAGGATTTGCCAAGGAATTAAGAGACCAGTCAGAATTAGCATCCAGAAAAATACTGTAATAAAGTAAGTTATTAATAAGTACATCGGAAAAAAACAGGTCATAGGTGATAAGCTGATCTGCTAGAAACAAATTGCACTAAGCCAATTTTAGGGTTGCTTTTTCAAAGATAAAATCATAGGGCTTGAAGAAGCAGCAGCAGATGTTGTATCTTGAATTTTACAAAGTTTTTGTCACTTATCATAGTATCAGTCTCAAAAGGAGACCATAAATCCTATCTAAATAAAGAACAGTAAGGTGGGAGCAAAACTGCTCAGAAAACTGTCCTCAGAGCACACATAACTAGACTGGTTCACCACTAGTCTAAAAGCATGTACCAAGTATTTTTCAACAGGGGTCCTTCTGGGGTCAGAAACATTCATATCTTTGTTGAAGACTTAGGAAATGCAACAGAGGGTGTGCTGACTACAACTATGAAAAATACCAAGTTGGGAGAGGTTACAGAAGACATAAGGTGACAAAAATTCAGTGATCACAACAAATTAAGAGAAATGGAATAAATAAGATGCAATTAAATATTATCAAAGCAAAGTATCATTCCTCCTTAGGTACTATCAACTGCAAACTATACAGGGCTGGGAACACCTGATTGGGCATTTCTTAAGAAAAGGATACGGGGATCATTGCTGGTCAAACTACAAGCCAACATGCTATTGCTGCTAAAAAAGCAGAGATCCTAAACACAAATACTATATTTCAGACAGATGAAGTCAGCTTTCCTCTTTATATGTAAGACCTCAGCTGAAATTGCATGTCCAATTCTGGATACCAGTTACATGGTAGATGCCTATAGAAAACCAACAAGAACGAACCAGTAACTAAAAAACCCCTAAGACCAAAGAACAAAGAGTTAGTCTAAAGAAGATAAGACTGCAGAAATGATAATGATCTTCAGATATGTAGAAAGTTGCTGAAAAAAGTAATAAACTTCTGTTTATTTTCCTAGGACAACATATGAGGGATTAAAATGCTGCAAGAGATACTTACATTAGACATTAAGAAAAACTTCTGGGTTACCTATACTGACTTCAAAATTCGTTTCACTGGAGATAATATTAAAAACAGTTTACATGAACATTTTTAAGGAGTCATCTTCAATATAGGTGACTCGGACTGGTGGAAGGCTAATATACTGAAGATAGCGCAAGGTTCCTTTCAATCCTGTATTGAGTTTCCAGGTAATCAGACTTTCTAGAAAATCTTAGGTAAGTAATGGAACTGTAAACCTTTAGGTCTGCAGAATTAAAAAATATTGTTCTACACAGGCTACATGTGCCACAAAAGGAACACTACGTTTCCAACCCATATCATCTTCCACGATGAATGACTAGTCAGCTAGGAGGGATAGTATCTTAGATCACTAAAGTGATTCATTATAGAGAAGAAAGAAACAGAGGCAACAGGCTCTAGTAGAAATACCACCCAATCAGAAATATGGTGATTCTAATAAAAGATGACACCCATTTTCTTTTTTATCTGATAAATAACTCAACTTACTTTTTCAAGTCGGGAGATATAATCTCTTTCCAGACGTTCTTCAGCTTGTTTCAATCCTAGTTGCTGTTCAGCTGTCAGATTAGATTCATCAATAACAGCGGTGTTTTCTAAATAATCAGCTTCCAAAGTATGTTCTTTAGTTGATTCAGAATTCTTTATCTTACCTAGAGAAAGAAACCGTTATTTTCTTCAGATAACTCAAGGACAGGAGAAGTGAAAGTTAAGAGTACAGAGCAGTTAAGAGCATCTCACTAAGGAGCCGGACACAAATTAGAGCTACATTCCAGTTTTTGTCCAAAGGCTGACCAAAATCACCTTAGACGTTAGAATCTTTCCAGTATGTTAACCAGTATTTTGGAGAGACTTCAGAGACTAATCTGCTACTAAGAGTGCTACCAAAAAGAGCGGGGGGGGGGGGGAAATGGTAGATTAATTTTGTGTTTCAGTTATAACTTCACAGTTGCTATTAAGTTCTTCAAGGCAATAAAGGGGTTTTTTTGTTATGCAGAACAGAGTACGTGAGATCCTGATGCTCTACTATAACAGAAATATGAAATATTAGGCTTAAAATTTTTTACACAACACATTTTGTTAAGGAAACAGTCATAGAACTGCCTTAAAGACATTCACCCAAATGATCTTACAGAGCCAGTCATCAGGCGTTTCAACCTCTCGATTTAGAAAGCTGCTGGAGTCACATCTGAACACACTGCGACACCTTGCCGCCCACAGCTAGCAACCGCAGAGCTCTGGAACACTGCTACTCACCAACATGCAGGTCAATTCCGGAAGACCAGTTCCTCTAGATGCCTACAAATTTTTCACAGTCCACCAATCTGTACAAACATCTACATCTTAAATTATTCCAGTAGTTTTTCCATCAGCAAAAATGAGGGTTATTTGTGGGGGGGTTTTGTTTTTGTTTTGTTTTCTTTTCTTTTCTTTTTTCTTTCCTTTCAAATGAGATGTGTGCTCCAGACTAGCTAGGAATGAAAACTGAGCAAGTTTTCAAGTCCTGGTTTCTCAGTGACAGATGGTCCCCACAGTACATGACGGTGGTCTACAAAGAGCTGACTGATCACAGGATGCTGCCATTTCAACTTGTTTTTCCTGTCAAATTTTATTAAGATAGCTAAAAAAAAATGCACTTTAATATTTTCCTAGTATTTCCATATAAGCAACTGCTGTAGCTACTGCAATACTGGGAAATACTTCAAATAGGTCTGCACTGGCACGCCGTCTTAAACAGCATTTTTATTAGAAAAAACTACATTCTGAAAAAGTGTGACAAATCCTGAACTAAGGAGTTAACGTGAAGTAAAATAAAGCCTGATCCATACATTTAATTCTGAAATTGAAAAGTATATGTAAGAATTGAACACTCATAAGGGTAACCACTGATGGATGGTACATACTCCAGAGCCCCCTAAATCAAAAAGCCATCTGACAAAACATATTGTCAACATTTTAGTAACAAAAAGAGCACAACAATCACAGAAAAAAAGGTAAATATTTTCCCCCTACCTATAAAAAAAACTTTTCTTGCAGATTTTTCCCCTGATCCTTCTGAAAAGCAGTAATAGCTGGCATTTCCATAAGTGACAATAATTTTATGAAGGGCTCCCCCCTCCCAAGACACTATATTTACAAAATTGCCTGAAACCCCCACACACTAAGTCTCTTGCAAAGATGTTTAGGTCTTAGGCATGAGAGAAAGGACAGGTATTATCATAATCTCTTATTCTCTAAGTAATATGCTTGTATTAATAGCACATTGAGTCTAAATGCAATCAGCAACTTACTATATGTGAAAAAAATATGCAAATAGAAACATTTCAAAGCCCATTTCAGATTGTTAACAATTTTACCAGAAGAAAATTGACTAAAGAAGTGTTGAATAATACTCACTGAAGTCATCAGGCTTATATTCCATTTTTCTTTGATCTGAAGCAGTCTTACCAGGATCACCAGTCTGATTAATACTAGTCTTCAAAGTATGAACTCCCAGTGGATTTTCCAACACCAGTTTCCCTTTCTGTGTAGCTGTTAAGCTTTCCATACTGACCCCATTCCCTGAAACATGGGAGCCTGGAAAGTTTTCTCCCACTGGTTGAGCTTTTGTCTGTTTCAGGTTTTCCACTGCTGGTGATAAATTAGAAAATTTTTTTGCTTTTCCATGACTTCGATCCTGAACGTTTGACCCCATATCTTTAGTTCCAGGAATACAACTATTTACTTTGCATGATTTATTTTCTCCTTGTTTTTCAGAACAAACATCATTTTGTTTACTTTTTTTGCTGCTATTCCCACTTGGAGAACTTCTCCCAACGTCCTTCACAGATTTGTCATTTCTATTATGTTTATAATTTTGATTATTTGTAACTTTGACTGCTTTGCCTTCCTCACAGACAAGACGGACAGACTTCCTTGGGTCATGATTTCCATTCTTTGAGCTCTTGGCCTCTTCCATTATAGTGAAGACCTGCTTCTTCTGCCTCTTGAGACCACCTGAAGTGCAATTCTTCAGCAATTTGCAGTTGATTTTAAATCCACTGTGCAGGCAAGGATCGTAGCTGATTGTCTACTGAAGAAATAATGACAGACATTTTTAAACTGAAGGAAAAATATCAACGCTCTGTGTAGACAACAAATTAAAATAAACCTCTAAAATAAAGTGTAACTACAAATTATTATAGGAAGCATGTTCCCTCACAGGCGTAAGTGAATTTTCATAATACATTCCATATTAAAGTAAAACTCATGAAAATTTTGATCATCTTGACTTCTATTTAAAAGAGGAGGGGATATGAAGATATGAAAAATGGCAGAACACGATAAAAAACACTCAGTGATAAACCTGCCAACAGCTTGCTTTTTTCTTTCCTTCCTATTTTTGGCTTTCTGAAAAAAACAAGAACCAAGATGTCTGCAACTACACCGGGGGAAAAAAAAAAAAAAAAGAAAACAGAAGAAAAAATTTAACACATCTAAAAAACACCACTCAATAAACACAGAGCTTAAATTAGCCACTAGAGAAAACTAATTCAGTTTCCAGCAAGCAAGCTCCATTTTATTAACTGATTTATAAAAAAAAGTATTTAGAGATATAGCTCAAAGTATTAATAATAAACCTGACCTATCACCTGTATCCACAGATACTTAAGCATATTTCTGACACATACAATTCTCATATAAGTTAGCTGTCATCAATTAAATAAGATTTTGCTTAGCCAAAAAACCCCACAAATAGTAAATATTTTGTTTAGCTACAGATTAACTTTACTTATAAAAACCTCAGGTCTTTAGGTGGTATATCATCTGAGCTTTATGTTGGAGACAACTCAAAGATTGTTTTTCCAATGGGAAGCTAAGCATGAATAATTGGGTCTGTTTGTAAGGAATTACTCTTACTAATATAGAAAATAAAGGGGGAATCTGTAACAAGAACTTGGATTTTTTTTTTAATAACCTTGAGATAGCAATAGAAAATTATGAGAATGAAGTATTAGACATAGAAGAAAATAAATTTTATAAAACTATAGCAAGATATGGAGTTCAGAGTTTCTCTCTTTCCTGTCCAGTTACATGTTTGTAGGTAAAAGCATGATCCATAGAAATTTCTGGGTTTTAAAGAACCCATCAAAATCAGTAGCTTATCATTTAGTGAAGAAAAGGAATAATAGAAAAGTCAATGAATTACAACTACTAGAAATATCACAATGTACTTTTGTGCTTAAGAACCAGAAGGAAGGATCAGATTAAAATGTCTGGTTAAAAAAAAAAAAACTTTCTGAATATTATCAGTATAAAGGACAGTAATTTTTTTTTTTCAGGCTATATAATGTAGTTACTATCTCTCACTTTAAAGAGACACAAATCGGAAAATACTTCAGGACACAAAGCACATATACTAAAAATGGTTCTCTTAAGCGTCTATTGACATAATTGAAAATACATATTATCTTTCAAAAATGAAAATCAAACAAACAAACAAAACCCACAAGAATTTTCATGAAGTTAATGTTAGCATCACAGTCTTTACTAAAATATAAAACTTGAAAAAGAAAAAAAAATCTGTATTCCTAAATTCATTCTAACGGCTAAGTATTTTATCTCACGAATACATTTAGTTAATATTACAGCTATTTTCTATTAAACACTGATTATACCTGGCTCTTACTTCTAGACCAAAAGTCAAAGACCAAAAATCAAAAAGATTAAATAGTAGTTGCCTTTGGATTGTAGTCAGTCTTTCCCATAGCAATTCTTATTAGCTCGGCAGCAGGAACTACTGCCCCCCTGTCCCAGCACTGCTCAAGCCTCAGTGTGGTAAGAAGAGCCAGGGTCCCCACAGGTTGGCTAAATTATTCTAGTCTCTGACCACCAGTATAAAGCACTGCTGTATAGACTGGTGAGATGTTATAGCTATGTACAGAATGTCGCTTTCTTTAAACTGTATTTTACTGTGATTTTTTGTTTAATGTAACCAAAAGAGAAAGGAGAGTAGGATTTTTCAAATTCTAAACTATTCCTTACGTTTTAGTTGCTCAACCTGAAAGGCAGGGGGGCG